TTATTGTTTATAAAGGCGTAGAAAGAGGTTATGAAGAAATCTCGCAGTTAATAGAGAGTAAAAGTGCTCGAGTGCTCAACTAGCCTCAACACAATAATAAAATATGTTATAAACATATTATTCCTTTATTTGTAGTGCCATTAACTCAGTTTTTTTTTTTTTTATGCTTCGATAGACACTACAATTTTTGCCGTCACTTTCTTTTTATCACAAACTTTTTGTCAAAAAGAACTTGCGAAAATAGATCAGGTCAATTTTAATATCTGACAGAAATTTTCTTACGTCCAAATAACCCAACTTATCCGTTACAAGTAGGATATCAATATCCGTGAAATAAATGTTAGAAAGCAGAGGAAAGCTTCTCTGGTGTGCAGTTGCTCGAGTTGTGCCTGTGCCGAGGTACTCATTTAAGGTGGACTCCGACACGTCCAGCTAGCTCACTAAGAGAACAATTATGGTTTCTGAAAATTGATAGTGAACACAAAAATTTTAATTGAGTTGTATATAAATATGTAGTTCAAAGAAAAACCTTTTTTTCTTCGAATTTAAAGTACTTTTGAGAATAATACCTTAGCTGAAATACAGTATTAAAACAATAAGGATATTTATAGCTAATAAAACATTTTATTATTAATTAATTATAATAAAATTTTGGAATACATACGTAATTCGTCCTTACCTCTTATCAAATTTATTCTTTAAAAGATTATATTATTTAAATAAATATAGTTCTTAACATTGTTAGAACAAAAATATCCTTAAAATTGCTTTAAGAGCTTATTTAAATGTGTATTGATTTATTGTGTATATGTTATGAACATCTCAATATATTAATCCTGATTTTTTTTATTACATTTGTTATGAAATATACCAAAATTCAAATTTTATCAGCTCTCGTCAAAAAAATCATGAATGGAATCACAACTTAGGCCCAACATTGAAAAATGATGTAGCAAAATGCTACATTTCTAAAGATTTGCTGTAGGTATTCAATTTTTTTATTTACCATATTTATTAGCATAATATAGACAGCTTAATTTATTTGAAAAATGTTTTAATCTTTTAACTGATTTGATAAGGAAAACCCAAGAGGCTTAAAATAAATAAAATTCAATTAAATTGTTCATGAAGATATTGCGTCATTAATCTGTTGGAAATTTTATGCTTTCATTTCAAAATTTTTACCGTAAGTAATACCTTATGACATGTTAATATTTATAAATATTTTACAAAAAATTTTGTATAAAATTAGCTATTTAATAAAAAAATTTAACTTCTGCTTTGCCTACGTTTCAAAATCATTCATACAGACAGTTTTGTGTGTATGTTCATTTTTGAGTTGGTAACCGCAGAAGTTTCACTCAATTATATATATAAATTTAGTATATTAGTTCACCAATAATAGGTTAGATTAGGTAAACGGAGAATGTGCTGATAAAACTGTTAGAACTTTTACTTCGAGACATATATTACCCAGTGTGCTGCCCTCATAGTTTCTTAGACAGAGTTTAGTCATACTAAAGATTTGGAGATGAGTTCATAACAAAGAAAACCTTCTTATAGTTTATATTGTACAGATGTCTGCATATCTTTCTGTAAAGTGTGAAAGTTGTCTTCAGTAAAAAGGGTGTAGTACTTGCATTTCTGAGAGTTCTTTGTGTTTCGTCTCCAATATGCATGTATTGCTAAACTCTCCCTGTTAAGATTATCATCTAATATTATCATATTTGATATTTATTTTATATTTTTATATTGCATATAATTGTGTGGATTAAAAAATTCAAAAATTAGAAGATCAACAATATTCTTAAGCAGGTGAGAGATGAACTTAAATACCAAGATATCTGAACTAGAAAAAATTTGTCTGGTTTTGTCTGGGTTTAGTAAGAAATTTTCAGAAACGAATATTTCCTTATTGGTGATGTACCTAAATTGGTTACCAAATTCTTGCGATTTGGCAGCACTGGACTTCTTTTTATGTGGTTACACGTAGGATCGTGTTTATTGAGTCTACAACGCTCAACATTTCGAAGACGAACAAAGGATCTTTCGTCAAATTATGTAAGAACTATAGCCAACTATGTGTTGAGAAGTCATTAAAAATTGTTTTAATCATGATGTTTTACTCTGAGATGTTCTGTAGAGGATAATTAAAAGTTTAAAAGATGTTATAT